ATAAAAAATAAATAAAGCTTACTATTTTGAATACTGAAAATGAATGAGAGAAAAAATTTTAAGAATGAGTAGTAAGTGAAGGAAACTATTCTTCTACGTTAAAATTAAATACGAAAAAAAAATAAAAAATAAAACTGAATAATTTTAATTATAAAAGAATAATTGCAAAAGGTAAAAAAACATCGTCCTAAAAAAAGAAAAAAAAAAAAAAAAAAAAAAACAATTTTCTACTCAAATATTAAAAAATAAAAACAATTTAAGTTGTTTTTATTTTAAGTTGGCAACACTTAGTCAACATATTCAAAATTTTTTTTTACTCTTTCTCATGACTTTTAAAAATTAATAATTTGAAAAAAAGAAAAATTTTTTTAATTTTTTTTTTTTTTTTTAAATTTGTTTTGCAAAAATAGTTTTTATTTTTATTTTAACAACTTTGAATTTAACTCTTAATGAAGTAAATATTACAAAATCGATATTTTGTAGAGGACCAGAGAGGACATTATTTAAATTTTAAAAGTATAATAATATTTTATTAAATGCTTAATTAATTGTCCAATTTTTTTTATTTAAATCATATTTAAATCAATAAAAGAATGAATACAAAGTATAAATTTTTTAATACTGACTCACTAATACTGTTTATAGACTGTTTAGATAAAATATAAAAATTTTAATTTAAAATTCATAAATCATTTTTCAAACCGCCAAATTTTTAAAGTAGTGAAAACAATGCCGGCACACTTTTAACTTGTAAATTCGTTTTTGTTCAATTTTTAGTTAGTAAAGTATTAAATTCTGATTTTGATAAAAAATTTTTTTTTCGAAAACTCTTTATTGTGTAAAATTAAATTTTATTTAATTTTTTTTTATATTTTCCATATTATTTGTTTTGTTTTGTGTCGATTAAAAAAAAAAAAAAAAAGTTAAATACGAAGTAAAGTCATACTATTCATTTGTGATAAACAATCCAGTTGAGTTTTCAATGTTTAGCTTAACTATAAATTATTTATGAGTGAAGGCTTTATTGATACTGGATGTTCTAATGGCTGACACTCATCTGGGAAACATGAAGAAATTGAATTACAGTATACACAAATGTTCAAGTTTTGCTACTAGTTATGTTCCAGAGTTAGTTATATTTTTACTTAAGTATTTGGTGTAAAGTTATTTTAAATTTTTTAAAAATGTTTAAGTGAATTAAATATTATTAATTAATGTTTTAAATAAAACTTACAAACTCTTAACAAGAATTTTCATAAAATTTGACAGGTTTAACTTGTAAAACTTTGAATATTCACAAAAATTTTATTTGTTTAATAAGCAAAATATTTTACAGATTTATAAATTAGTTCATTATTCTTTTTACTTGTATTTTTTACTGTATTATTTCATTATTATGAATTTAAATAAAATAAATTTTTTTTTGCAATGCATTGCTTCATTCTAAATATTTAGTTTTTAAATACCTATTGTTATAATAATAATAATTATTATTATTATTTTATTTTTAGAAATATACAAGAAGATAAGTCAAATGATCAGTCGTCTAGGTGGTCGTCAGAAACAAATTATTTACCTGAAGTAAGTAGTGTAATTTTTATTAATTTAAGTTATTATTTTTTAATATTTTTATTCCTAGAAACCCTTTTTTTTTTTTTTTAAAAGAAATGTTAAAAATGTTGTTATCAAATTATTAGACTTATTTTTAACATATAAATGTGAGCTTTCGATGAGTGAGAAGTTGAAATTTTTAAAAGATGAAGCGAAACCCAATATTTTCATTTATTTTTAATAGAAATTTCTTCATTTACATTATATTTTTTTTTTTTTAGTATTTAATACTCAAACTTCAGCATCCTGCAATAGTGGAGACTATAACATTTGGCAAATATGAAAAGACTCATATATGCAATTTAAAAAAGTTTAAAGTTTGCGGAGGAATGACAGATATTTGTTCTTTAGACCTCTTCGAAGGTGGAATGAAAAATGACAGTATTCCAGAAACATTTCCATTAAAACCTATGATTGATGGACATAATATTCCATGTAGGTTTATTAAAATTGTGCCTCTACAATGTTGGGGGCCAAGTTTTAATTTTAGCATTTGGTTTGTAGAACTTGTGGGTATTGATGATTGGAATATAGTCAAACCTTATTTAGAATGGTTTAATATGGTAAATAGAATATTATTTAAGCCTCAGGATAAAAATTTTTTGTGAAAATAAAATACATAAGAATTTTTTTTTCATTTTTAGTATCAGGAACAAGAAATTGTTAGGCTGTGCTTAAAACATTTTAGGAAGTGTAATTACAATGAGGCATTTAAAGCACTACAATCTCAAACAAATGTTTCTTTGGAAGATAAATTTATAACTAAATTACACAATCTTTTAGTAAACGAAGGTTCATTTGAAGCAACTGAAGATTTATTAGAAAAAGCCATAGCAGGTTATTTCGCTATTATTATTAATTTAATTCTAAAAACTATTATTGATTTCATATTTTAATTAATGCTACAATTTTTGTGTGTTGTTACGATTTAAAAATTTCAGATGGTTATTTTACTGAATTTATAAATAAACAAGATTATCATCCTATTTGGTCATCAGTGTGGCCTGGGGAAGGAGAAATTAGGCCAGGGATGAGGGGTGGACATCAAATGTGCATAGATGCTCATACTGAAACTGTTTATTTATTCGGTGGTTGGGATGGTAATCAAGATATGAGTGATTTTTGGTCATATCACGTTCCTAGTAGAAAATGGACTTTAATTTCTAGAGATACAGAAGCAGAGGTTAGTCACATTCATAAAATTTTATCTAATTTTGAAAAAAAATGATAAATAAAAATAATTAATTGTTTTTAGGGGGGGCCTAGTTCGAGATCTTGCCATAAAATATGCTTAGATCCAGAAAGACGTCAAATATTTACCTTAGGCAGATATTTGGATAATCAGTATAGAACTCAGGATAATTTAAAAAGTGATTTTTATATGTACGATATAGAAAGTAACGCATGGACTTTAATATCTGAAGATACAGCACATATGGGGGGTCCTCAATTGTTATTCGACCATCAAATGTGTATGGATGTTCAAAAAAGGACAATATATGTATTTGGGGGTAGAATTCTTACTCCCTCTTTTAGGTACCTTGATTTTCAAAAACCTTTTTACACTTTTCATTAGGCATTGTAAAAAGTATTTAGCGCTATTTAATTACAGTTCAGAAGAGAGAACTGGCTGTGCAGGTCTTATTGGAGTAGATGAAATGAAATTTTCTGGTCTTTATTCATATCATGTTGCGACTAATACGTGGACTCATTTATATGATGATGTTGCTGTTGGCATATTAAAGCCTGGCATTAGAACATTAAAATGTAGAACCGGACACTCGATGTTATTTCATCCGGTAATTTAATTTTGCGGATAATTTTTTTTTTTTAAAGTTGGATACATTTGTTTGGCGGAATCAAGTTTTTCCGATTGTATTATTCTGAAAAATTATTAAAAATTTTTTTAGATTTCTAGAAAGCTATTTATTTTTGCCGGACAACGAAGTAAAGAATATCTCAATGATTTTTTTACCTATAATGTTGACTCTGGCGAAATTCAACAAATTTTAGAAAATTCTAGAAAAGATAGTAATGTTCCTGGCCCGGGTTTCACTCAAAGAGCTACAATCGATGCTGATTTGAATGAAATTTATGTTCTTCTAGTGCGTATTTCAGTTTGAAACTTTTTAAAATTTACTTTTTTTTTTTTTTCGAAAAAATAAATTTGGATGTTTTATTAGGGTTTAAGCAAAGACAAAGAAAAAAGAAATGACAACGTTCAACATTCTTTTTGGGTTTATTCCATTTTGAAAAATTCATGGACTTGTATATATAAAAATGAAAATGTGGGTGAACACTATTGGAATAAAATGCAACATATTGAACCCTGTCCTAGATTTGCACATCAGTTAGTATACGATCACAATAAAAAAGTTCATTATTTGTTTGGAGGAAATCCAGGGATTAGCTATATGCCAAAACTTAGGTTAGACGATTTTTGGAAACTTCATCTGTCACGCCCTTCTCAATTGTGGCTTCTTAAAGAATTTAAGTTTATGATTAGAAAACAAAGGTAAAGGTTTAATACTGCAGATACAAATAATATTTATTTAAATTATACTTATTTCATTATATATTTTCAGATTAAAAGAACTGGCCATGGAAGATAGTTTAAGTGCATTGAATTACCTTCAAACAGCAGTTTCGGATATTATCGATCATGATGATCCAGAGCAAACCAAAGAAGTAAGTAACCATAAAACCAAATTCAGAAAAAAAATTAAATATTATCAAATCGTAAAACACTCGAAAGAATTATTTTCAATGTGTTCTTCTTTAATCTTCTAATATAAATTTTCAGTTTCAGCTGTTGGCGGAAATTCTTTTTCAAAAACAAAATAACATAAGTTTTAGGGACGATGAAAAAGAATTGAATTATCTAATACGAGAACAGCGGATTAAGCTGTTTGATAAACTAGTCGAGTATTTTCCGAGTCATATGACACAACCCAAGTACAATTTAAGTGACATTATACAATTGAGGCTGCAAAAAAAATAAAAAAAATAAATAAAATATAATAGTTTTTAAAAAATTTACTCGAGTAATCCATTTTTAAAATAACGAGAAAAAAAAAAAAAAAATTAATTTTTTTAAATATTTTATTATGACTTAATGATTTTTATTATCATTTAATCTACTGCCACTGATTATAATTTTATCCTTGAGCACTGATATTCTGCATTAAATTTAATTTAATGTAAATGACCTTGTTATTATTTTGAAATTATTAAATTTTATAATATAAGTAAATTATAATAAATAAATAAATAAATGTTTTATTTTTAATTTTAATTCAAAACACCTAAAAGGCAAATTAATTTTACATTAAGTTACATGTATATTACATTATAATATACTTTTTTTTTTTCCGCTCAGCTTTCATAATTAATTTGTGAATTTATTAGAGAAAAATTAAGTATATTTGTATTTAAAAAAAAAGGAAAAATTAATTAAATTATTAAAAACAAAGCATTACAGTAATTTTACAGGAAAAATATTAAAAGAAATTGGCCTTTGTAAATTGTAATAATTTCTGTATTAATAAGGAAAGCAAAGAGAAAACAATAGAGGTGTTTTAAAAGAAAAGAAAAAAAAATTATAATCATATGATTATAGCTTTAGCGTTTGAAGTATTTTTATTACTTTTTAAAATTTTTATCTCAGGAAAATTAAATTAAAAGTAAGTAGTCTCAAATTTCAATGAAATCGACTCTTATGTTTTTATCTCTATGAATAATTTTTGATAAATTTAATTATATCTCTATGGCATAGAACACCATTTTTGACTTACTTTGATAATAGTCTAAAATGATGAATAATTCCTCGATTGGATTTATTTTGAATTTTTTTCGTTTCTGTTAGAAAAAATTAAATATAAGTTGTATATTTAATAATTTGTGGCTAGGTCGAAAGTTTTAATAACGTTTAATTTTACGAGATGGCTGATAATGACCCTCCCCCTTTATTTGACAATGTAGTAATATCATCATCTGCAGGTATCGACGAGGATAGCGACAATTTATTCGTTTCTGCCTACGAAGTAAGTTTAATAAATTTTTCATTATTTTATCACATTACTTCTTATTTTAGATTATTAATAATAAAAATTTATAACGATTTACTCTTATTTTGAAAAAAGAAATGAATTAAAGCTTTTTATAATGTTATTAATAAATTACTTTTTTGCAGAATGAATCTGACTTAAATACCAATAATCAAACTTTATTAAATGAAAATGATAATGAAATTAAAAATAAAAATGAGAATGAAAAAGAAATTGAAAATGATAATGATAATGATAATGATGACAATGATTCACTTAGTGAAACAAATCATTCTCTTTTTGAAAGTACAGAATTTAATATTGAAAAATGCGAGGATGAACATGAAGGAAATAAAAACAATCAGTTATTAGAAGAAATCGATACGGAAAATAATGATCAATTTTTAGAAATAACAGTCACAGATCCACAAAAAGTTAAAGATGGAATAGGATCTTACATGGTTTATAAAGTTAACACAAAGACAAATATACCAAAATTTAGGAAAAATCAATTTGCTGTGAATAGGAGATTTAGCGACTTTTTAGGTAAATAAAAAAAAAAAAAAAAAAGATGTTAATCGTAACTTGATCCGTTTTCTGGCCTAAAAGACATTTTAAATATACATATCACATAATTTTATTAAGTAATTGATCTTTATTTTATGTGACACTAATGATGTACACTACAAGAATCCCCAAATATATTATTACAATTTTTTAATTATTTATTTAATTATTTAGGTCTTCATGAGAAATTAGTTGAAAAATATTTAAGAGCCGGTAGAATCATTCCTCCTGCTCCGGGAAAAAATGTTTTCGGAGCAACCAAAATTAAAATTTATAATCAAGGAGAACTTGGAGAATTTTCCGATTTTATAGAAAAAAGGAGAGCAGCATTAGAAAGATTCATGGTATGTGTTTTGTTTTCGATAATTTTTAAATTTAAAGTTATTTTTTTATTTATCTAATAATTTTTTTAGGTTAGAATTGCAGCTCATCCTTTTTTAAGTACTGATCCAGATTTTATAGAATTTTTAGAAGCGGAAGGCGGTTTGCCCAAAGCCACAAATACTTCTGCTCTTAGCAGTGCAGGAGTTTTAAGACTTTTTAACAAAGTAGGAGAAACTGTGAATAAAATAACTTTTAAAATGGAGGAAAAGGATTCTGTAAGTTTCTTACATGGATTTTATTTAACTTATCATCTTTTCAGTGAAATGTTTTCAATGTTAAACCTTATTTTGTTTTTTTTTTTACAGTGGTTTGAAGAAAAAGCTCACAAATAGATAATCTCGACATTCAACTTCGTAAACTACATGCGAGTGTTGAATCATTAGTCATGCATCGTAGAGAATTAGCAGAATTGACGTCTTCGTTTGCAAAAAGTGCGGCATTGTTAAGTAGCTGTGAGCAACACGATGCTCTATCCCGTGCTCTCTCTCAGCTTGCTTACGTGGAAGATAAAGTCGAAGTTCTTTATAACAATCAAGCCAATTCTGATTTTTCAATTCTTTGCGAATTATTAAACGACTACGTTGCTTTAATTGGGGCCATTAAAGTAATTCTTTAAAAAAAAAAAAAGTACAAATGTCCTTTGTAAAAACAAACGCGTAATTTTATTATTATTATTATTATTATTTTGTTTGTTTAGGATGTTTTTCACGAAAGAGTAAAAGTTTATCAAATTTGGCAACACGCTCAATTAATGTTGACGAAAAAGAGAGAACTCAAGTCTAAATTTGAACTTCAAGAAAGAAGAGAGAAAAGTGCTCAAGTTGCAAATGAAATTATTGAATGGAATGCAAAAGTCGAACGCGGTCAAAAAGAATTCGATAATATTAGTCACATGATAAAAAAAGAAATGGAAAGATTTGAAATAAATCGCGTTAAAGAATTTAAAATTATTATAATACAATATTTAGAAACTATTATGAATCGTCAGCAAGAGGTATAGTGGCATCCATTTTAGTTTTTAAAATGAGAAAATTTTCTTTTGATTTTTAACAAATAATTTTTTCGTTTTTTTTTTTCAGTTGATAAAACATTGGGAAGGATTTTTGCCAGAGGCTAAAATAATAACAAAAACCGATTACGAAAAATAATTTTGTTTTTTTTTTTTTTTTTAATTTTGCATTTATTATTATAAATTTATTTTAGTTTAAAAAAAAAAAAATATTTAGAAAAATTATTATTATGATTTATTTTGTAGTTTTTATATCTGAAATAAAAATAAAAATCTACGAAAAGTTTAAAAAAAAAAAACATTTGTTACATATTATAAAATTAAATATATATAAAAAAAATTTATATACAAAATTTATATTTAAAAATTTTTTTTATGAAGCGAATAAATTTTCATAAAAATTAATGTAAATTTATTTTTCTAAAAAAAAGTTTTAACTACATGATAAATTTATTTAGTAAATTTTTTGCTTGGAATTTAAAGTCTACACGACTATATAAAATTACTAAAGCTGTTTAAATTCTTTCTTTAACACACAAAAATGACAAAATCCTTTTATGTTATATATATATATATATATAAATATATTAAGAAGGGGGGGAGGGGAGGGGTAAAGAAAAAATGTTTTAATTTAATAAAAAGAGAATTATTAATTTTAATTAAATTTTAAGTAGATTAATTACTCGTTAAAATATATTTTACGTAAAACTACCGAATTATAATTTTTTTTAGTAATTAAAAATTTACACATATATATATTATTTGGACTCATTTTCATGCCTATCAGGAGTTTCGTATCCATCTGGAAGTGCATTGTAATAAGGATGATGAAAAAGCGTTCGAACAGGATCCCAGGGATAACCCTAAATAAAATTTAAAAAAAAAAAAAAAAAAAAAATTGCGTCAATTTAAAAATTTGATTTTTTAAAATTAAATAAAAGTTTTTTTTTTAAAATATTAATTATATTTAATAATAATTTAATTACCTTCTTTCTAATTCTAAGATATTCATATTTAATAAATTCTGGTCTGTCCCCTTCTTCTGGATTTACAATAAATATATCAGCCAAACACAAGAGTATAATTGGAACGCACATAAAAAAAAGTATATTTTTAAAAATTTTTGGATCTTTATGTTTTTTGCATTCCAAATAAGGATGACATATGGAACGAAAACCATCTCCTGAGAAAGGAATAAATTGATTGTTTTTTTTTTTTTTTTCAAAAAAAAAAATTATTATTATTTATATATATATATATATAAAAAAAATAAAATTTACCCTCCGATTTTTTTTTTTTGGATCGTTTACAATTGTAAGAAGGTATACAACTAATTTTACAATTTGATTTACAACTCATACGTTTAATAAATGGCTTATTAATAGCCTTTTTGTAATATAAACACTGAATAATTTTAAACATTGTGATTTATTAACATTAATTAGTTATTATTTAATAACTTTATTATTATATATGTACATATATGTGTAAATACATAAACAAATTATTCAAAAATTATATAAAAAATAAAAAATAAAAAAAAATTTTTTTTTTTTTAAGTAAAAAAAATAATAATAATAATAAATATTCGAAAAATGGCAAGTTTTTCTTTTTTTTTTTTTTTTAAATATAAACTAACTTTTTTTTCGTTCTTTTCTTTTTTTTTTTTTTTAAATATTTTTTAACGTA